ATATATATATAAACTTGTAGAGACTATAACCTTCACAAAACTTAATGTAGTTTCATTACTATTCTAGTAAATAAAAAAAACATGTTTAAAACCACGCAACTTGTATATTCATGTTAACACAAAAGTAAGATAAAATAGCATTAGGTGGATCTACAGTTTTTCATGAATAGATATTAGACTAAACAAATTATATTTAGAGTAAACAAATTATTATTGTAATAATAATAATAATAATAATAATAATAATAATAATAATAATAATAGGTGATAACAAGGATAGAACTTGGGTCTTAATTAATGCAATCTATTCACCTCCGTAAATGTTTTAGTATAAAATATATTGTTAAAATTATTTGAATATGTATTTCAATCACGTTTAACAACGTAAAACTAATTCCATCAAAATCAATCTTATTAAATTCTAAAAATAAAAAAAAAATTGGAACACCAACTCATTAACGTTTTACTAAACACACTATCCATTCTATCTTCGATCGAATTTAGTGTACTTTTGGAGAGTTTTATATCTACACCTTTAATAAAATACAAAGAGGTATGACAATTTTTATGTCTAGTATGTGAAAATAAGACAAATTTCTGACCATTCCGTTGTGCATCTCGATCTTTTGAATTGTTCCAATACGACAGTGGAGGAAGTACTATTTCTCATAAGAAGTTAAGAATACCACCGACATTAATGGACAATAAATTTGAAAACCAATCCCAACTTGACACGTGGTTGGAGTTGCCTGAATTTCATAATCCAACTATCACATATAATTAATTGATTGTCTGCAAAAGATGAATATAATGGAAGCCGTGAACTAAGTTTATATTGATGCAAGAGAATATTTAATACAGTTACTAACTCTTCTCAAGTGCGGAATTCTTGTTTAGTATGTTATTTTTTAACAAAAATTGACAAAAGATAATTACAGTAAAATTTAAATTTTATAACTGTCATAGTAATTCTGATAAATAAAAAAAATAATGCAATTATTATCCACTCTTTTATATGGTTTATGCGAGAACCAATTGTTCAATCTCTAATTCATCAGCGTGACTAAGATTAGTACTAAATAACATTTCTATCAAGAAATCTTGTACAAAAATCTGTGGGAAGTCAATTACAATGCCAATTACCTTTATCTATCCTTCCTCATGCATCGTAATGCAACAAATTTTGTTGGTCGGTTTTGAATTCGTCAAATTCTATACCAAACAATTCATACTTAATAGTTGATAGAATTTTTCTTCTCCATAAGAAAATCTTGTTTAATGTGAAACTTTTTATAGCAAAATTTGACCAAGTTACGAGACGATTTTTTCTCTTTTCTTTCACTCGAATGCTTATGAGAAAACTTCATTTCATGTTCAAATTTCATAACATGCATCACTTAGACCCGTGATTAAGTGAACAAATAAAAACTATATATAAAACAACTGCATCCAGCATTAGAATACACAATAGTCTCAGATGGGATATCCTGACTGAAGTTATAATTAATCACAGAAATTAAAAACAATTACATCTAAAAAAGTAAATATGTAAGCTATACAAAATCGAATCTAACATGTTTATACTCTGATTTGACAAACTCCCCTTGAAATACTTTTTGAAGAAAAATAATACGAATAAAATTCAAATAAACTTTTTCATTAGCTAAAACTAACTTTTACATCTTTTAAAAACAAGATTTAAAAAAATTAAATATAAGAACTACAAATTAATTTATACATAAATTAAATTTAACTTGTAAATATTTATTTCAATTTTTCTTGTTTTTTTCTTAAAATACCGAAACAGGCCCTATATATGAAGATACTTTTAAGTCTTATATACTCGTGATAACTTAAACATTTTATAATACGAAAATCCGCAACGGTGAACTTTCCCAGTTCTTGATAGGAATTAGTACTTAATCAGTTAGTATCATTGCGATAGTTTCTATACAAAAATCGAGTCATGTAGAAGTATCGGTGCTTAAGTTTTCATTGTGGGCCCATGCCCTTCAAATGTCACTGTAGAATTATTTTAATTACTTCGGGAAGGAAACACAACTCCAACCCAATTATGTTTCATTGGGTTGAATCCTAAATTAAATCAAATCCAACCCATTTACATTCCTAAAGCCGATGTTGCTAAACAAATTAAATTCCCAAAACCTTATTTTATGTAGTTATACAATATGTTGTCAGCATACATGCACAATATAAGCGAAAAATAAAATTTGTGCAACACGTTATTTTGCCCAGTGTTTACAATGTCATGCATGAAACAACCTACAAAACATTGATTTACTAAAACAACAACTAAATTGACAGCTGCCAACTAAATAAAAGCAAGATGTAAAAAATAAGTAAATTCCCATATAAAGGGAAGTTACCAAACAAGGCCTGTGGAGAGCTTATACCCTGCATCGAAAAAAAACAAGAGAGGAAACTGGAAACTAGAACTTAAGTTAGTATCAGTATAACCCTCACCGATGTGAGAACAATGAAACTCAACTTGGCACCTAACTACAGTAAGCTTAACAATTTGAAAAGCCTAAGAAACGTGTGAATATTCATGCATCAATAATCTGAAATCCGTGTATATGCATGAGCAAAATTATATGAAAAAATATCTAAGAAGCTTTGTAGTCTTAAAGGAGCCCATCAATAAGCCATACTTAGTAAATACCCCATTCCATGGGCAATAGCCTCCAGTGCCTTGAGAAACTAACAAAAATAGTAATGAATTTGAAACTTAGTACCCACTTAAACATAAAATCAAAACCAAATCCACACGAGCATAAACTTAGGCAACCTTTGCCTTCGGGATAGGGTTGGTTTTGCTATATTAAGCAGGAAGGGTGGGGTAGGTGCATAAAGAACCAACTTAAATAATTAGTTCCAATTCAGAAACTCAATAACAAATGATACTCAATCCTTTTCTGCTACTTTATAATGACTTGATTGTTGCATTTCCCAAAAGATGTTGCAAAGGCAAATGATCTTCTAAGGTCCATGCCAGTGGTGGTGTGTACAAATGATTGAATGGCAAAAAGGAAATCTATGCAGTTAGCTAGCTAAGGAAAGATATCAATGCATCTATAGCATTGTCTTGTAGTCCCCCTCAGCAGAAAAATCTCAAAAGTATCACAAATCATTCCAGCAACAAACATTACCAGTGCATTATGCTTTTTACTTCTTAGGATCACACCAAGTCAAATAAATCCCAAAAAACTAATCATTTGACTTTATTACTTGCTCAACAAAGTGCTAATTAGTTCACTTCTGTTCTGGTCATATCACTGTAAAAAAAAAGTAATCCAAAGTAACTAAACACCTCTTTAGAGATTCAAAACAAAGAACCAACTTATTGATAAATTCAGCAGGTAAAAATCCATGAAGCCTTAACCAAACAAGTAGCATCTATAGCCTGGTCTTTGTCCAAATGAAAAGGAAGATGGAGCAGTGGGGAAATCTTTCACATTATCTGTCCAAGTAATGTATCATAAATCAGGGTTTAATTACACATCACTGCTCACTACTTTTTCCATCTCTAATAAACTTGAGCCCATACAGCACAAATTTACTGATAATACATCCCATCCAGAGAAGATCCAAGATAGCTTGAATTGACATGACCTAGTTTGTGACAAATTCCGAAAAAAGGCTATACATAGCAATGTTCCTTTGTCTCCAAATTGTAGGCATCATAACATGCATAAGCTTCAATGGTCATCCTACAGCAGCCACTTTATTATATCAGATCTGTTCATAGACAAATTCACTGGTGACAACAGTGTGCAACCTTCACCAGCCCTTGCGAAAAAATTAGAGTTGCTATTTCGAGGATAGACAAATCTCTAAGAAAAATATATTCACTTATATTGGATGCATGCTAACGTATTCCAAAATGCAATCACAAGAAGACGACTTACCTCAATAATAAGATCCTGATCCACCACCACCCATATAACTGCTACCACCACCCACACCCCTACCAGAATACACAGATGAATATGAGCTGCCACCAACCTACAGCACAGGAACAACAATAAATAAGAACATAACTAAAATATATATCACACTACTTCCAATAAAGATCAAGCCAAAGATCATTACATCACTTCCACGAGAAATGTAATCACCACCATAACTTGATGAGTACATGCCACCAACATCACTGCCACTAAAAGAACCTGACATGCAACACATCAAAAAATTGTAAGAAGCAAAGATTCTGAAGTTGGCAATAATAAATCAGACATTTTATAATAAAATCTACCTCCTCCATAACTTGGGCCTTGTCGACTACTATACATCCCATGTGAATCTTGGCTAGAAATAGAACTTCTACTGCCCCCACCATATCCCAGACTAGATCTTCCAAGTCTACAAATCAAAAGTATGAAATCAATCACATGATAATAATTTAGGGAGAAGTAATTCACAAAGCCTTAAATTTTAGACAAAACTAACCTATCACCATAAGCATCACCATACTGTGAAGCACCGCCACTATACTCATAGTCTAATCGAGCTCTTGATTGGCGAGCATTGGTATCCGTATATCGTGGAGGAACATCATCCTGATTAAAAATAAAGTGAATAATTTCATTTACCGTGTTCTTGGAGAGAAAAAAATTGGGTTTCAAAAACAAAGCAATTATAACAAATGTGCAGAAATAATACTAACAATAGCAGCATAAGAACGTTTTGAGCCAGACACAGCATCATAATCTCGGGGACGTCCTTCACGGTAACTTAGATGAGGAGGAGGAGGAGGAGGAGGAGGCCTCTCAAATCTTTGGCTATATCCATCATCCACATAGCCTCTCCTTGGTGCAGCACGAGATGTACTTCTTGGGAGCTCAGCATAGCCAGGACCACGGGCAGGATAATCCCTGTAAGACGGTCGTCTTTCAGAAGCCACCCTTGAGCCATAATCTGTAGCAACTCTACTTCTTGGAGGTGGTATATCCTCACGCCGGCCATAATCTCTCTTCATGCTACTTTTTGGATATGCAGATGCTGAAAAGATAATACAAAATGATAGTTTAAAATGTTATAAATAAAGAATGGTGGGAAATAGTAACAACTAACAATCAATAAGTCTGTTGGTAAGAAAATTGTATACTACATACCAACTGGTCTCCTATCATAAGATCTAGATGGAGGAGGCACTGGCCTACTTCTTGCTGATACAGATATGATAGGGCGTCTATCTCTCACACTAACTGGTCTGACTGGTGGAGCACGACTTCCAATTCCTCTTACACCACGCGGAGGAAAACTACGAGGTGGAGGTCGACTCCATGATGGCCTCGACATCATTCCAGAACCGCGACCAGAACGGTAGTCCCCACGACTAATGTGTTTTCCACGGCCTCTCTGAAGTGGTCTTGACAACCTTGCTCTAACTTTTGCCTGAAAGAAGCAAAAGCATTATAAAATATTAAAATGCACCAATTAACTGTTGAACACAAGTATTTTTAATATCCAAGACCAACCTTCTTGTCACCTTCACCCAACTCTGTGCCTGTAATGCATTCAGCACATTTTACAGCAGCATCATGGGTGCCGAATGTAACAAACCCATAGTCCTTCCTACGGGCAGCTGGCATGTTCCTGGCAAGCTCAACCTTTTCAATCTCTCCATATTTCTTGAGAAGATCCCGGACATAATCTTCATCCCATGAAGGAGGCAATGCATCAATAAACACAGTTTTAACCTGCAACTTAAAACACACTTTATCAGCAAATTTGAGGTATGCAAACATGTCCACTCATGATAAACTACTGAAGTGTCATTCCGATTATCCTTAAAAAGTAAATTCAATAAAATTTGCAGAATTTAGTAATTTAATGATTAACTGTAAAGGTAACCCAGGTGGTTTCTTTTTAGAAATAATAATGTTTAGTTTTAAATTGAGGTTGCTATATAGCAAACACATTGTAATGACCATAAATGCAGAAAATTATGGGAAAACCCTTGCAGATGTAACCACAATTTATAACCAAATCAAGTAAAATAACAATACAATATCCAAATATAGACAACCAAAAAATTATCCACTATTGGTGTTGGAATCCAGCAATAATGTTTACCCAAATGCTTCAACAAGGGCAGAGAACCATACTACGCTAGTTTCATTCAAAAGCCCCTGGTTAAGCCAAGGAAATGGATTTAGGAAATACCTGGGACATAATTTCATCACCGGGGTCAATAAAAGAATCTGCAAAAGAAATTTTTGCAGGCTTATCAACTCCAAATACAACATCCCTCTTCTGCAGTCGCTTAAATGCATCCATAGCATCTGAACGAGAGGAAAATTCCAAAAATGCAAATCCACGGTTCTTTCCTTCATCATTAGTATCTTCTACCAAAGTCAAATCCTCAACATTTGTAACTCCATAATGTTTCAACTTCTCTTTTAACTGGCACCAGAAGTTTATTTTTTTTAGTCAGAAACTCAGTTGACTTGAAAAAAGAGAAACTAATTAAAACACAACTCAGCTGTTGGAGGTCAGAAGGTGCTAAAATACGACCCAGAAAAAAAATTTAAACTTACAGCTTCCTTTGTCCATGTCTTGCATATGTTTCCCAAATAAAGGGTATCACTGTCCTGACTAGGAGTAACACCACATTGTTTGCCATTGATCTGAAATTGTGGTGATGAAAAACGTGATTTAATACAGCAGCAATTTTAAGTATACTCTAACATTGAGAAGATCAAAAAATTACCACTGGATTTTTTAGCTCTGCCACAGCTCGCTTTGCTTGTTCCACAGTTTCAAAACGCAAGAATGCAAATCCCTTGTTCTTTTTAGTCTGAGGATTCATCATCAACCTAACTTCTGTAACCACCCCAACTTCACCAAAAACCTTCCTCAGATCACTCTCGTTAGCATCCTTGTCCAGGCCCCCTACAAAAACTTCAAATTCTTTCCTCTTTCGCCTCTCCTTCACAACTTCTCGGTGTTCCTCTTCCTCCACATCAGCAAAGTCTGGATGCTCATGCTCCTCACCAGCACGCTTATGCTCCTCTTCAGCCTCAATTTCATCATGAATATCTTCAACTTCTTCCTCACCTGTATCACCCTCTTCACCTACATTATCTTCAGCCTCTTCTTCCTCTAATTCATTTCCCACCTCATGACCCTCATCTTGTTCAATTTCCTTCTCATCATAATCAACTCCACCATACTCCTCAGCTTCATACTCAGGATCATTATCCTCCAAATCCAACCGTTCATCTTTCTCATATTCATCTATGGACTCCTTAACCTCGTCTTCATCGTCTGTCAAAAAGTAAAAATTTCACATGATCCCGGTCAGTTTTGACCGAACTTTTCCAACATACACCGTTCATTAAATTAGGGTAGTCCATAATACTCCATAATAAATGTCATCTTCCCTAGTTGAAACTATTCCCACTACAGTACACTAACAGACAGATAAACTCAAAAAGAACTTGAACCAAAACAAATAAAAACAAACACCTTCACAGCACAGGCGACCCATTCAATAGCTCAACTCAATTTCCAACAGCTACATCAAAGTAAAGAATGAATACTACCACTTAACACACCCTAAAAGAAACACTTCCTGCAATAGCTTTCTTCCAATTAGCTAGTACAATTCCTTCGTACAAACAAACATAATCACAAGGCTTAGATACACAGCAAACACACATAGGACAGACACATCTATCAAACATCGTACCTTCACTAACATTTTCCAGAAAAAAAAAAAATCAGATCAGTATATCCTCAAGATAATTAATCAGTGTAAAATTTCACTAGAACCCCAAAACATAATTATGATCTAGGTTGTTTTAAGACCGCGGTTTCAGTTGCAACATCAAGGGTTTTCAGCTGTTCAACAGCATTGGCCGCATTTGTCCCAATTTCCCGCAACATCAAGGATCACGAGGAAACTGCAACCGCGAGTGACCCCACCACCCACATTCAAATATCAAGGATTGTAACAAAATTGCAACTGTGAGCAACCCCAATCACCACATTTGTCCCAATTTCCCCCGCAATAGCAACATCGAGAACCGCAACAAAAAAATTGCAACAGCCACCACAACTTAAAACCTTGATTACTCCCGAATTTAAACTCAGCTCAATAACCCAACAAAAAAAATCCAAACTAAAGCAAACCCTTAAAATCTTAATCACTAAAAACAAGCAAAAAAAAAAAAACTTACTTTTCGCCATAGGCAACCCATTAGCCGCTTCCTCCACAGCCTCAGGAGCCATTTGGTTCACATCAATAGACTTATCCTCAACCACTACGACAGACTCCTTCTCCTCAACCACAAGCTGTTTCACCTCAACAGCAGGGCTCTCTTCTTCCACCACCATCTTGTGCTCCTCCTCCTCAGCAACAACACCAACAACAACGGGCTCTTTCTCTTCGACCTTAAGCGTCTCCTCCGGCTCGTGATGATGCTGGTTCTGCGCACCCTTCGCGGCTCCCCTGCCTCCTCTGCCGCCCCTCCTCGAGGCGGAAGACGCCGACCCTCGCTTCGCCGTTCTTGGAGGCATTCTCGAAGGAAACCCTAGATTGAAGGGAACGGTGAATTGAACCTTTGGTTTGGGGGATCCGAGAAATGCAGAACGAGGATGTCGAAATAGGAGATGAAAGGGAAGCAGCGAGTGTTGGAATCAAAGGGGGAATTGGGGATCGATTGGGATGAGAAAACCCTAGAGAGGGAGAATGAAAGCAAAACCCTAGGATAGAGGGAAAGGGAAATTTGTAAGAGCGAGAAGATAGAATTCCCACACGAACGAAATTTATTGATGTGATATATATGGTGAAATTGTGAAAGGTTAAAGGTATATATATATGGCATGGCATTGCGCAATTGAATATTGATAGCGTTTTACTGAGGTTTTTTTTTTTTTTTTTTTTTTTTATTTCAATTGTCGGTTTTCATTTAAATTTTTTTTTTTTTTTTTGCAAAGTGTATTTTGTGGCGATTAGTCAATTACTAGTATGTAAAACCAGTGAATATCATCCTACATTTCTTGTCTCGCCATTAAAAATAAAATTAAATTAAAAAATGTGCAGTTAATTTTAAAATAATTAAATAAATTAATTAAGAGATATAAAGATAATTAATCAAATAAGTTAAGAAGTAAAAAGATAAAAATAAATAAATAAATAATGTAGATATTAAAATACTTTATCCTTTTTATTAATTAAAAATATTATCCATAAACATAATTCACGCGTTATCTCAAAGAAATTATCTAATGAATTATTATTTAAATAAATATATTTAAAATATATAATTAATGTAATTAACAATTAAAATATGATCTTATAATGAGACAAACAAAAACAATGAAAAGAGATCTTATATAAGGAAGGAGATAAACAAAAACAATGAAAAGATCTTATATAAGGAAGGAGATGATATATATTATAATTTTAAATATTATTTTTATGCCTTATTTTTATATTTAATTTAATATTTTTTTTTCTAATTCTTTTAAATATCTTATTTTTATTTTTTAATATTTTTAAACTAAATTATATTTTTTATTTTTTTCATATTTGTTAGATTTATTTAGATTGTTTATATGTTAAAATGTTTATTTTGCTTATTTATCTTTTATATGTGAATCAATTTGTTTCTTTTAAAATAATGATCATTTTTAATTTTATAATATGATTTTGAATTATTTTTTTTATTAATTTAATATATGAAATTTGTAATATTTGATTCACATATATAAAAATAATGAAATATATTGACATTCAAAACTAAAAAAGTTATAAAAATAATGAAAATTATGTGAAAATTTATCTTGTGAACAACTAAAAAAAATAACTACTTTTTTAGCTTGTATTTCAAAAACTAATTATTTATTATATATAACTAAATTTTATAAA